TGGAGCCTTTCTAAACACAATGAAGACCAGAGCCAATCCAGCTATGAAAACAGTCTACAAGTTTGTAAGTTTCTCTATTCCATTATAGGTGATATTTGTATGAATACAAGGTCAGCGGTATTAAAAGGCAGATGAAGTACTGCCGAGCTGAGTTATTAATCTCTTGATTGGACACTGTTGATTCCATTGATCCCATTAAATATTTAGCATACGCAAAGGTCTCTGTTCTAGAATAAGAATCACATGTTAGTTCAAAATAAAGAGCTTGTTAATTCTGTGACTGGCAAATTAATAAATTAATTAAATAAAAAGAGCTTTGAGTTTAGTTAAAGAGCAGCATATTATGTTTAATTTCGTTTTAATTTGTTGTAAAATGTTTTACTACGGAAATAGAGGTAATGCTCTCATTTGGCCCTATTGAAACCTTACTTTTCAACGCTAGTTTAATAATACAAATATATTTACCTATCGTATTTTGTTGCAAATGTTCTTTTATAATTAAAACTTTTTTTTTTTTTATGTGAATGGACAATAAGGGGCAAAGTTTATGAAGCAGCAGTATGGTGTTACCCTGCCCATATCAGTGCTTTAAAAAACAAAACTCACATTTATAAAGCACAAAGTTCTGTGTGCAAAGGTAATTAGAGAGAACTCCTTGAGACACTGCAGACTCCACAACATGGCCTGTATTTTATAAATGGGATGTCAAATTCTGGCCATGGTGGGCAGTATTACCGTGGACATTGCTATTCACCATAAATAGGGCCTTATTGGCCAGGTATAAAGCAGCAGTATGGAGTTACAGTGGCCATACCACTGCTTAAAAAACAACCACAAAAAATGCATGTTTACAATGTCCAGTGGCTAGCTTTATCTGCTTTCCTATGTAAATAGGCCCCTAAGGCTTAATTTCTTTCATAACAGCCCAAGGCCTTGTGTATAAAACCATTAACACATTTTTCATTGCCAGTGGAAACCAATAAGGTTACAACTGTCATTTCTGCCGTGCAGAGTTAAAAATGAGACAAGGATACTAATTGGTTGCTATGAACAGAAAGTAGGGATGCGCAGATACTTTTCGAGTACCAGTGCCGATACTTGGCATTTTTCATGAGAACTACCAGGGTTGCAGCGGTTGCAGCTGGGACCTGGCTCTGGCGCTCCACCACTGTCCTGAAATCATCAGTCTGTATTGTTTTAGAAAAACTGTCACATGACCATAAACAAAAATGTATCAGTACTCGTACTCGCAAAACTGGTATCGGTGCATCCCTTTATATTTATAAAAAACAAAATTGTACATTAAAACAGAGATGTACACATCCCAGGAGCTCTGTGTGCTCCTTACAAATGACAGCTGCCTCCTAATTATTGAATTTTTCTCAAGTGTAGTCTTGGAGCTCAAAAGTATCGGTACATGTACTTGTACCGAGTACTGTACTTGGTAATTGTGCAACCGTAACAAAGGGGTAAGCAACCTCGGCAGCCCAACTACAAATCCGATAATGCCATTGGCTGCAGAAGTCATGTCTGTGGCTTTCATAGTCTTGCAATGCCTCATGGGATTTGTAGTGTCACCACAGCTGGAGTGCTGAGGTTGCCTTACCCCTGTTTTAGCACTTATAAACCCCTAAATTATGTGAATATTAATATGAAAATTAAAAGCAGATTGTGTTGTTGATTGCAACCTGCAATCTTCATAATAAGCAGACCTGAACACTAAAGTCTACCAATGATGAGGCTTTCGCTTTAAGATCAAGATTTGGATTAGGCCCAGCCTTGTGGCTGAAAAAGATCAGAGGAGGAGATCCCTGGCAAGGACTTTATGTTGTCCAGATGAATCAAGTTAAAAACATTTGATTTTTTTTGTCATGCTGCTCCTGAAGAGAAGAGCAGAAGATGGGCCCCTGATGACATTTACTACTTGATTTTCAATAAAGGTGGCATAATGTAGAGCTTGGGAGCTGTGTATTCTATGCTTATGGTAAGGCCTTAGAGGTGGAGGAAATTAAAAATGGAGAGTGGTGGGAGATCTTGAAACTCTCATTAACTGCTTTATTGTCCTTTTCATTAACCTGGAAGCGCTCAACTCTGAGCACCCCTTGGTTTTTAGGCTAGGGCTTTCTGTCCCAAACGACATTAGCTGGAGACAGAGGAGACATCTGGTTTAAATACATCCCTGATTTTTTCCATAAATAGTATTGGTCACTGATCTTTCAGCCCCTATATATAGTAATAAAATGTATTTACATTTGTATTTTCACATAATTTTGAAAACTAATTTCAGTAAGCTGGTTTATAGTTTATTTTGTGACCCTTTATATTATTAATACAATGTTTGTGTTATACAGGCAAAAGACCATGCCAGGATGGGAATTAAAGAAGTGAAAAACCGCCTAAAACAGAAGGTAGTGCTCCTTGTGCCACATACAACCATGTTTATTATATTAGTAGCTTGTTGTACAATGTATGTTTTAGGAAGACAATTTCTTTAAGATACTTGTTGTATTTATTTTATTAATTTTTCTTTTAACATGCACAGAATATTACTGCACATTGAGTTCTTATAGGTATATTAAGCATCAGAGGTTGTTGATCCAGGATAATATCTGGATCAATTATGGGTCAGGAAGGAATGTTTTCCCCCTGTTGGAGCAAATTGAACCATGCTTTATAGGGGGGGTTTTGGCCTTCCTCTGGATCAACAGTGGGTAATTGTGAGCATAGCGTTCTGTTTAGGCGTTTCTTCTTTTTTTTTGGTGTTGATGTTCACATGCATAATATTGTTTATTTCTTTACAAAAGGCCCTTTCCTCTTTGGCTGTACGATCTATTACTTTTTTTGTTTTTAGTTGCAGTGTCAAATGTAGATGCATTACATCCGTCTTGCACATTTATGTGTTTCTGTAATAAAAAACCCTAAACATAAAAAATTAACATTAGAATTAAATGTATTGCCATAAGCCATAAATGCCCAGTATTCTTTGTAAGTAGAAATTAAGTTAGGAATATTAAAGCTTAGCTTCAGACAAATATAAAATATGGAAATTACTGGAGTGATATAAAAATGAATAAATCATTAAATATTTTTAAGGAAGGCACCTGTGGAGAGTAAGTTCCCACATTTCACTTGGTAGCCAGTCAGGTGTGTTTTATACAAATGTTCTGACAAGAAACATGCTGATAGGAGAAGAGAGCAGAATGCGCAGACAAATGACCTCATCAGTCTGAAACAGATTTTCATTGTCACGGCAGCAGGCAAAAGTAAAAATCTACATACATTTTAAACTATATGTAGTTTAATATATGCAGTATATGTAGTGTAAAATCTATATAGCAAAGGTGAGGATAGATACCAAAAAAAGGTAAAGCCATTCAAGAATTGATACTGACATCAAATGTGTTTTTTCAGTAAAATCCTAACCATTCTCCAATATTCAAGGGCTGACATCCCATTCCCACCAACTATGTTAAAAGGTTCTTTTCTACCCACAAGTTTGAAGCATTCCGGGGTCTTTCTGAAGTATTCAAGTTTCTAACAAATTATTAGAACTTGACTGGAGTCATATACTATTTATATATGGTTTTATAAACAACTGTAGAGTAGCTTGCAGCTGTATGTGCTAATATCACCTCCCTGTGTCCCAGGAAGCCATATATGTTTTTTTTTAAAAAGCAACTTTCTCTGCATTTATTGAAGGACAAAGCGGAGATCTTGTTCTTGCACTGATGGGTTATGCGGGCCCCTGAAGGGGGAAGGACAGGTGCCGGGTGTGATTAGTGCACAGCCCCTGTCTTTCTCTATGGGAGTACATGGCCATACGCCGCCCTACGCTCACCCCAAGTGCAGGTCCATACGGGTGCGGGTGTCCCGACTCGGATGCAGACAGGACGTATGGCTGCGTACTGTGTACTCCCATAGAGAAGGACGGGCTGCTTACTAATCACACGCAGCACCTCCCCTTCCCTAAAGCTGCCCGATACGTGCGTGCAGCACATTGCTGTACGGGCCGGCCTTTTCTCGTTTGAATGAGTCTTCAGGGTTAGTGTAGGGAACATTAGGAAGTTAATTTGGGGTGTTTATGACTTAAAAAGTTCATTGACACCAGAGGTTTCCATCTTACAAAAATATTGTGCCTATTTTTTTTTTTTTTTGTTCTATTGTGATTAATTTGTATTATATTAGTCCAATACAACTTGCAGCTGCCATTGCACAGCTGGAATCTGTAATGCTGGAACATTGAAATGTTTATTATGAAAAATTCTGCCTATGAAAATGGATAGTAAAAACATTTTAAAAGGAATTTATGAAGCCAAAAACAATTAATATATCAACATAGACATCATTACTCTGTCTAATTTGAACATCCATTATGATGAAATTAATAAGAAATTGCCAGCAAAATTATGCATTTTAGATAGAGATGAATGGATGCTTGTTCTTCCTTCATGCTTTCTTGAGACTGATCTGTGTAATATTTTAATTTTTTCTGTATTTTGTTTGAGATTATAATTGTTATATTTACCCTTGCTGTAGGTTATTTGTTAGTAAACTGCAGAATTATGTTCTTTACAACTGGATTAACAGCCGCTTAGTTGTTTGTTGGTTCCCTAGCTCTTTGAAATGCTACAACCTTTGTGGCAACCTTCTGTTATTTGAATTTGTTGAAAAGACATAGAGCAAAAGAGATTTTCTGTCCCTTGCACTATATTAAACCCGACCTATTTCTGTGTGTGACCTTAACAGAGGTCATGACCTTGCTTCCTATTTGCAATTCAAACCCAAATCAAAAGCAGATAAGAGAGTAAAGCAGAATGTTGATGATGTATTAAAGGTCAGTAATGGGAGGATCCGTGCCTTGTGCCCAGAATATATTTATCATATTTCCCTTCCTTCTAGGACCGCAGTGAAGAGGTTAACAAATATTTATTCACCCATCTTTTGCACTATGGTGTGAATTTTCTGTTTTAGTCAGTTATTACATTTACCAAGAAAACAAAAGTATACAGTATGTGTAGATCTCTTTTGCTAATAATATGTATGTTCTGTTCATACATATATTTTCTGTTTTAAATATGACTACTGTATTTTCAGATAGGGAGACAGAAATTATACCTGGTCAGTTCGCTGTTTTGAGATATACTGCTGTCAGCTTTGCATTAGTAAGGAAGCTGATGTACAAAGTATCTTTGTAAATTGTGTTTCCTTTAATGTGTACATATACAAGTACAGTAATTGTTATTTATGCAAAAAAATCTTTATATTGATACAGAGAAATAGTGTACTACAAATCAAAAAGTTGCACCCTAGATGAGAGAATTTTTATTTTTTTATTATTTTAGTAATAGACCAAGGTTATCATTTTAATATTTAAATGACAACCATAGCTACGCAAAGAAAAATAATAATCATAAAAAAGTGTGTGTTTGTGTGTGTGTATATCTGCTCAAAAAAATTAAAGGAACACTTTGGAAACACATCAGATCTCAATGGGGAAAAATATCATCCTGGACATCTACTGTATACTGAACTGGGTAATGCGTTAGGAATGAAAGGATGCTGCATCGTTTGATGGAAATGAAAAATGATCAACCTACAAAGGGTTGAATTCAAAGACACCCCAAAAATCAAAGTGAACAAATGATGAAGCAGGCTAGTCCATTGTGCTGAAATTTAATTGCAGCAACTCAAAATGGTACTCAGTAATTTGTATGGCCCCCCACATGCTTGTATGGATGTCTGACAACATCGGGGCATGCTCCTAATGAGACGACGGATCGTGTCCTGGGGTATCTCCTCCCAGATCTGGACCAGGGCATCACTGAGATCCTGAACAGACTGAGGTGCAACCTGGCGGCGTCGGATGGACCGAGACATAATGTCCCAGAGGTGTTCTATTGGATTCAGGTCAGATGAGCGCGGGGGCCATTCAATGGTATCAATTCCTTCATCCTCAAGGAACTGGCTGCATACTCTTGCCACATGAGCATTGTTGTGCACCAGGAGGGACCCAGAACCCACTGCACCAGCGTAGGGTCTGACGAGTCCAAGGATTTCATCCCAATACTTAAAGGCAGTCGGAGTGCCATTTTCTAGTTTGTAGAGGTCTGTGCCTCTCTCCATAGATATGCCTCCCCAGGCCATCACTGACCCACCACCAAACCGATCATGCTGAACGATGTTACAGGCAGCATAACGTTCTCCACAGCTTCTCCAGACCCTTTCACGTCTGTTACATGTGCTCAGGGTGAACCTGTTCTTTGTGAAAAGATCAGGGTGCCAGTGGCGGACCTGCCAATTCTGGTGTTCAATTACAAATGCCAATCGACCTCCACCGTGCCGGGCAGTGAGCACAGGACCCACTAGAGGACGTCGGGCTTTCAGGCCACGCTCATGAAGTCTGTTTCTGATTGTTTGGTCAGAGACATTCACACCAGTGGCCTGCTGGAGGTCATTTTGTAGGGCTCTGGCAGTGCTCATCCCGTTCTCCTTCCACAAAGGAGCATATACCGGTCCTGCTGATGGGTTAAGGACCTTCTATGGCCCTGTCCAGCTCTCCTAGAGTAACTGCCTGTGTCCTGGAATCTTCTCCATGCTCTTGAGACTGTGCTGGGAGACACAGCAAACATTCTGGCAATGGCACGTATTGATGTGCCATCCTGGAGGAGTTGGCATGCTTGTGCAACCTCTATAGGCTCCAGTTTTCGCTTCATGCTACCAGTAGTGAAAAACAGTCAGAAAAGATGAGTAGGGAAAAAAATGTCAGTGGCCTCCACCTGTAAAACCATTCCTGTTTTGGAGGTTGTCTCATTGTTGAGCATCTAGTGCACCTATTGTTAATTAAATTAAAACCAAGCAGCTGAAACTGATTAACAACCCCCTCTGCTACTTAACTGACCTGATCAATATCTCAGAAGTTTAATTGACTTGATGCTATACTCTGATTAAAAAGTGTTCCTTTAATTTTTTTGAGCAGTGTATATTCGTCCCTCTATAGAAAACTGTACTTATTTTTAAACAAGGGTTCTACCACCCAATTACAAGGGAAACACAGGAAATGTACCGTTCCTCCATGGCTCATGTAAGGAATGAGCTGGGTTCTTCATCACATCACTAACACTTACCTTAATCCAGGGTCAATTTATCTTCCCGCCTCGCTGGTTCCACTTGTGACAATAACTGCGCTCAAGCTGCTCTGCATGATCGTCTCTGATGGGTCGTCTTGCCACACTCATCAACACCCTCACTCCTGCACTGCAATCAATGTAGAATTAGCATCCTTCTCATTAGGTTGGGAAGTGGCCGCTGGTAGAGGTCTGCATTCCATCCCTGAAGATTGGAGGGTAGGGATGATAAATTGAGGTGGCCATACACCTTACAACCATTGTACAACTTTTTTTTGTCCAGA